TTAATACCAATGATGTGGAGATCAGAGATGTCTCAAATATCCAATATTTCCAAAATGCTATTCCACTCCATTATTATTGACATTGACCACTACTTCTCTCCTTGGCATATTCCCTCCCATCCCAGGGACTTGCAATTCCCTGCAATGTCTCCCAGTATTCGTAAACCATTAGCGAAATGGCTCCCATGTTATGAATGCAAGGAAACCACACATCCAAAGTTCAGACTTCCATCTGGAAGATCCTCCTCTTTACAAAACTGTAGAAGCAAGTGAAGTCAGGTCAGGTGTTAGGTTGAACTCAAGTCCCCAAAACCCAAGGTCAGAAAGAGGCAAGCCAGTTGCAGAGTCTCAAGCAAGAAGCAAAATATCCAAAAAAGATCATTTTTGTTACTCTAACACAACTTTTTCCTTCTGAGTCAACCCTGAGACTCAAGAGCAAGCCAGTCTCCTTGCTTCTGCATGTGCTGAGTTGGGTAAAGTAGGTTATAGCAAAAATGGCTTTGATGAGATATGTTGGTTACATTTGACTAGAGCCCCTGGTGGTGTAGTAGTTATGTGTTGGGCTGTGATCCCCATGGTCAGCAGTTTGAAGTCATGAGCAGCTTCGCAGGAGAAAGCCTGAGATTTCTACTCCAGTAAATAGTTAGAATCCCAGAAACCCATAGGAGGTCACTGTAAGTCACCATTGACTCTATGGCAGTGAACTTGGGGTTTTGGGCTGTTTGTTTGTTTGTTTGTTTGTTTGTTTGATTTGGCAGAGTAGACCCCCAAGGAAGTCAAGAATGATGCTTTGAATCACACCCTCTAGTAAGGTGGAGACTCCAAGTGAATCCCACCCCTCACACTGTCTCTACAGCCTTTGTGGCACAGTGGGTTACATCTTGGGCTGATAACCGTAGGTCAGCAATTCAAATCCACCAGCCCCTCCAAAGGAGGAAGATGAGATTTTCTATACCCTTAAAGGTTTGTCGTTTCAGAAACACACAGGGGCAGTTCTATTCTGTCCTGTTGGATCTTAATGAGTCGGAATCAACTCGATGGCAATTTTGTTTACTCCTGTCTCCTCAGAACAGCAGACAACTCACTCTAAAATGGGGTTAAAAATGGCAGATGTAGAGGTTATAATTTAAAATATTACAATAGGGAGAACTATGGCTAGGACCATTTGAAGTAATGAATTATATCTCAGCGTGATATAGCATGCACAATGGTGCAGAAAATAGGCCTAAATGTATAATATAATGAAAGATTTTCTAAAGTAATAAAATTAGTAATATTTAAGTTGAAAATATTAAAGTCCTGAAAATAAGAAAATGTGTCTCAAAATCCACCTTACTTGATCTTTAACTTTAATTATTGTTAACAATGCGATCACAGTTTAATCTATTTATATGTTCTTATTGTGATTATTGTTATATCAGTATTTTAATTTTATGTGTGCTTTCTATTTTTCTCTCTTATCTTTCTTTTAAAAATTTATTTGCATACCAGATTCGTTTGAACATGTGTTTTCATTTCCCTTGAGTAAACACTTAGGAGTGAGCTTGTTGGGTTATGGCAATGTACATTAAATAAAAACAAAGCAAAAACCCCGCCAAACTATCTTCAAAAGTAGTTGTGCCACGTTGCATTTCCACCAGCAATATGAGAGTTTCAGTTGCTCCCTATCAACCCAGTAATTTTTACTTTTATTTCCTTTTTATTTTGTAGTTCTGAGGGGAGCACTTCATTCCAGTCTGGGGCCGTCCAAAGAAGCCAAGACCATTCAAATTCAGACCTGAGGTGCTCAGTTGAGTGTCTTGGGACATCTCTAAGAACCTTTTTGTTGGTTTTAGTATATCTTTTTTTTCTTGTGTTCTTGAACTATCTATGCATCTATCTTCATTGTTTTCTTCGCAATGTGTTATCCCTTTCCCTATGTATATTATTTATCTCTGCTTATATCTATGTATCTTTTTAAAAAATAAAATTTTAACGTTCATTTTCTTCCCCTCTTCATTCACCTGGGTTCCCAGGAACTATCAAAGTCTGCTTCCTTTGATGTGAAACCCATTTTTCTTGATTTTTTGTTTGGTTTTGGTTTTGATTTGTTTCTTGTATAAGAGTGATCACCTGCAGCATTTGTCTTCACGGGATTGACTAACCGCTCAACATAATATCTTCCAAATTCATCCATGCCAGGAGGTTTTATAAGATTCATTATTATTATTTAGGGATACATACTATTCACTATATGTGTGTATTAAAGTCTCCTCATCCATCCCTCCCACAACAAGCCTTTAGGTGGTTTCCATCTTCTTGCTGTTGTGAATAGTGTTGCAATAACAAGAGTGTGCATGTCTCTGCTCATGTTTTGTTCCTTACTACTTTAATTAAGCTATATACTGGTGGGAAGATGACTGAATCATATGCTATTTCACTTCTCGTTTTTTTTGAGGAAGCACCATGCCACTTTCCATAGTGGTTGCACAGTTTTACAGTCCCACCAGCAGTGTATGAGAGTTCAAATCTCTCCACATCCCCTCCAGCAGTTAGTTTGTTTTCTTTTTAAACTTTTCTCTCAGTAACAGTGTGAAATGGTCTATCATTATTGTTTTAATTTGCATTTTGAATGGCCAGTGATCACGAGAGTTTCTGCAAATGTTCCTCAGTCATGGACGTCATCTTTGGTGAATTGTCTCCTCATATACTTCTCCACTTCTAAATTGGATTGTTTGTTTCCTTCTTCATGAGGTGTTGCTGTTTTTTCAAGATTTTTGAGATTAGCCCTTTCTCAGAAAAATCATTGCCCAAATTCCCCCTTCAGTTTTTCACAGTATTATTCTGACCTAATCTATCTCCTCTTGTGTTGTAGATCTATGAAGGTTTTCAATGTGAGTATTTTCGTTTATGGAGATAATTGGGTTCTGGATATGTGTCCATTTCTTCCAGGATTTTAACCTTTTTGGAGTGTCAGCCTTCAGAGTAGCATGCAATTATCTTTCTTCCTTTGAATGATTTTGTTGTGATGTCATCTGGTTCATTTCTTATTCATGATATTTTCAACTCCTTTTTTTCTTTATTAAATTGCCAGGGGGTTGTCAATGTTGTTAAATTTTTTAGTTATATTTTTAAAAACCTTCAATCCAAGTTGAAATAATAAGTAAACATTGAATTATGAACAAGATGCAATTATTAAGGCCATTTAGTAATACTTTTAGTAATTCTCATTCTTGTTGCTACTAGAAAAAGGAGAAACTGTCTCAACAATCATGTCTGTTTTCTATAAATGCTTGCTGTTTATGGATTTCTAAGAATGGCTTCGAGTGTGGAGCAAAAATTTTAGTTCATAAATTTTTTTAAATTCACAATTAAAAGTCTAAAGGACCTATCACTGCTGCTTCATGGCTAAGCCAACACACCCGTATTGAGAAAAAAGAAGAATGCCAAACCAGATCATGTCTTTTACACATAAAAATTGAAAAATATTTCCCTTTAAATGCTCATATAACGAATTTCAGAATAAGAACATGACAAGTAAAAATCTTAATGATTATACATGGGAAGAAAAAACTACGCTTGATTTCACTATGATTTTCAACTCTAAGAAGCTAATGTTTGACGTTTTGATAAATCTACTTAGTAAATTTGCCACAAGTTGAAGGACACTTCAAAAACTTAATAAAAAAATATTGTCTTTGAGAATGGGAGGGCGATGAATGTACAAATGTGCTTTACACACTTGATGTATGTATGGATTGTGATAAGAGTTGTATGAGCCCCTAATAAAATGATTTTTTTAAAGTTACATTATCTTTTAATTCCATTTTCCATCAAATGTTTTAAGTCCCATTGTATATGTTACTTTATGAGATAGAAATTGTATAGCAGAAAATGACAATAATTCAACGAGTTTTCTATGCAGCTCTACGCTCCAGAGTAACGTGACTCATTATAGAATGAAATTAACTTTTTCTAAAAAGTTTAATGTACATATACACTGCACTTTTTTGTAATAGCTTTAACTTGAAAACTATTCAGACCTAGAAGAGTTTTATTCCTTTAAAGCTTTTATCACTTTCTGAACACATTTTAAGACAGTATTTGGTCACTTGTTTATTTGTTTCAATACACCTTATTGCTTACGAATCTCTAGACAGCTTGACAATGCTGTCATGTAGTTTTCTTACGCTTTGCTCTTTATATTTACTTGATATGTGTTGCTCTACTTTATGCCAGCATGTCTATTTCATTTGATTTTAACACATATGGACAAAGTGCTTGCTACACCAAAACAGTGCTCTAGGCACTCTGAGACATCAAAGATGAATACAGCCATTAATGCTTAAGAATTTAATGTTAAAGAGTTTCCATGTGAAAAGTACTGACACAGAAGGAAAACAAACATGCCTGGGGTAACAGCAGAATGAAGAAGTGACAGAACTACTTAGGTCAGTTCTGACATCTATTAATACTAATGTCTGTTTGTTTGTTTTTAACATTAATGAAGGACCACATTGTGCCCTACCTCATCAACTCACTTGTTTTCCACACATAGCCTGGGTTGAATTGAATGAACTTCAGTTAGATCGTCTAGCCACGTTCACTGAGAAGAGTTATATAGCCTGCACCAGATGAAAGCATGGATCAGATCATATACCAGCAATATAAAAAATGGGATTTACTGCCATTAATCCCCCCCATTACTAGGAGAAACTAAATTTTCAAGGCATTAAATATATCTTCTCATACTTTCACAATTTAATTTAAAAAAATTTTAAACTGTTCAAATTCTCTCTGTCCTGATTCCTCCTTTTCTCTGATTAGTCCCAGCACAAAGGGTCTTGCTGGTTGAAGCTGGGTCTAGGCTCTTACGCATTGGAAAATGAATAGTAACTCAAACACCTGCATGGAGGCCTCATGTCAAACCTGATATTCATAGGTCTACCTTAACCTAAAATACTGTGGCAACATTTCCAAACCATACATGTAAAAATTCAAGAATAAAATAATGTATTCATTTAATGAATAGGCATCAGTTTCTAATGTTATATTTCATTAGCAAAACAAAGGATCCAATTACAGGTTGTCCTTGACTTGCAAAATATTTGAGTTATAATGAACTATACTTACAGCTTGCATTTTCTTATTTGTTTTACATCGTATCTTCAGTTATCCTTCTCAGATGTTCAGTGGCAGATGTTCAATTTAAAGATTTACCATTCAGAACACTGGCATATAGAACACTATCCTTTTCACAATTTTGCTGGAACCTAGCATATCTTAGCACTTTTTTCCTTAAAAATATTCTAGCTCCTTAACTCTGACTGATAAACAGGTAGTAGTTGTTTTAGACAGTGGCTGACCATGGAAGTTCAATTCATTGTGATCCCTTGTGAAAGAGTAGATAGAACTGCCCCACACAGGTGTTTCATTTTTTAAATTTTTGCTGTAATTTTATGGAAGCAGGTTGCCAAGGCTTTCTCTCACAGCTAATGTTTTGGATAGTAGCTGAGTGCTTATCTTCTTGTGCCACTAAGTCTCTTAACAAACAAACAAACAAACAAATAAGGCTGAGAATATAAAAAACTGCCTGTTACTAAGAGAAAATAATCAAGAATCAACAAAAATAAAAATATATCAAAATGTATGGGAAGCGGCTAAGGCTGTGTTTTAAGTGAAATGTAGAATTTTAAATACTTATATTGAATACAAGAGTGCAGATTAATAACATAAGTACTTACCTAAAGAGAGTAGGGAAAAATTGTAAAGGAAACGTAAAGAAAGCAACATAAATGTAATAATAAAGGTTTTTGGAAACACTGAGAAAACTAAAATGTGGGGGGAAATCATGAAAGCAAAAGGTAGTTCTTTGGAAAAATCCAAATTGATAAAGCTCTTGAGAACTGGTTGTGAATATCTCCACAAAAGCTCTAGGCTGGCTCATAGGCAAGCCTTCACAGAGCACTACGTCTGGCTCTGTCTGGCCTCAAGATGATTTCTCACTTACGTATTGTGAGAATCTCTTACTTCATCAGTCATCTTCATAGGTTCAAACTACGCAATTGCAAATCATACACTTGGTTTAACATTTTTCTTATATAGATTATGCAAAAGAAACAAATCCATAATAAGGAAATTACCCAAGTAAAAAGTGGTCAAAGCATTTCTCCAAAAAGATGTAGAAAATTCAATCAGTACACAAAAAGATGTTCTTTACCATTGACCATTAGCCAAATGCAAATCAAAACTGCAACGAGATTACCACTTCACATTCATAGGGGTGGCGATTACAAAGATAGATAATAGCAAATATTAGTATGGAATTTGAGAAATTAATAACCTCATATATAGATAGTAGAAATGTAAAATTATGCAGCCATTTTGGAAAAGAGAATAATGGTTTCTCAAAAAGTTGAACATAATGTTACCACAGAACTTGCAAGTCTACTTGTAAGTACATAATCAAGAGAGTTAAGACATACGTCAACACACAAACCTGTCCATGAAGGTTGACAGCAGTATTATTCATAACAACCTGTCTTAGTTTAGCTACATAGCTATGCCATATAATTATGCTGTAACATACGTGACACAAATGAGAGAGTTTAAGAACATCACTTTGTTTTCTCATGGTTCTGGAAGCTAAAAACCCAAATCAGGTTTTAAGCTCAAGACTTTCTTTAGTTCTTGGTGATCCTCGCAGTTTTTGCAGGAATCTGGATTGGAGTTTCTCTTTCGACAGTACAAAAGTAAATAGATTCCTCACTATGGGAGAGTCAATGCTGACTCAGAGCGACCCCGTGCGTTTCTGAGACTGTAACTATTTAAAGAAGCAGAAAGTCCAGTCTTTCACCCAATTAGGATATATATTAGAATATATTTATATATACATATAAATAATATATATAAATCGCATATTAGAATAGTGACATGTATATTGTGTGTGATTAGGTCTAGGAATATATATATATATATGTATATATATATACACATTTATGC